AGAGCTAGTGGTTTGGATTCTCAGTGTTATCTAAACCTGCTCAAGAAATTCACTGCAAAACAGTGATTGTCTGTGGCCTCTTCTCTGGGCTGGCTGCCTCTAGTGGAAGAATGGTGCTAGTTGTTGATATTAATGGGGAATGTTGGAGGTCAGCCACCTGAGGGGTAATTTCCATAAGCACTGATCTCATCTTCATGATCTCATCTCTGACCAGTTTCACAATATCTCATACTTGGAACTGCCGTTGTTGATGTGATCTGGGGGCGTGGAGGCACATGGTGCTCTCCTCGAGGTTGGTCTTTCTGTCACAAAAGTACCTCCTGTAGGGATTGAGGGCCTCAAACCTCTTTTCTTTTTTCTTCCTCCCTCTCCTCTCCTTCTCCTCTCTTCTTTCCTTTTCCTCTTTTTTCTTAGATTGAGTTCATAGTTAAACTCTGGCTATCTGAAGAATTTAGTCCTTAATTGAAAATTGAGGGAGAATGCCCTGGACTCTCTTGCTGATTTTTTTGGTGAACATTAATTATTTTGCTTCTCTGTGATCCCTGGCTGCCTCTGAAAAATGAGATAATATACTGCGTTTTTAAAGTTTATGTGAAAACTAAAATATGATAAAATGAACTAGAGTAGTGATAATGCCTATCATTTAATTTTTTCCCACTTTTGTTTATGTTTTGAACATGTAGAACATTAACATGCTTCCAAAAGACAAACTGATTGATTTTGAGAAGTATATTCAAAAGAGTATCTCTTCTTTCCCTTTTCTTTTTCCCTACTCCTCGTTGGTAACTGTATCAGGCAGTTCTTGCATTACTATAAAGAAATACCTGAGGCTGGGTAATTTATAAGAAAAGAGGTTTAATTGGCTCATGATTCTGCAGGCTGTGCAGGAAGCATAGTGCTGGCATTTCCTTCTAGGAAGGTCTCAGGAAGCTTACAATTGTGGCAGAAGGTGAAGTGGGAGCAGGCATATCACATGGTGAAAATAAAAACAGAGAGACAGTGTTGTGGGGAGGTGCCACAAACTTTTAAATGACCAGATCTTGCGATAACTCATTCACTATCTCAAGGACAGCACCAAGACCCAATCACCTCCTACTGGGCCTTACCTCCAACATTGAGGATTATAATTGAACA